CTGCTACTCCACAGTCAGAGAGTACCGTGTGAAATAAACACACACACACACACACACACACACACACACACATGTAAGGTATTTAACGAATCAGTAACTTAGTTTGGTGGTGTGGGGTGGGTTATGTATGTGTTACATTATGGGGACCAAACATACTCTGCTATTTTGATCTTATGGAGACCATTTTTTTGGTCCCCACAATTGGAAACACTATTTTATAAAAATTGGTGACTGCAATCAAACAACTAAAAATGCCTTGTATTTTGTTTGATTACTTATGGTTAAGGTTATTGTTGGGTAGGGGTTAATGTTGTCATTGTTAATATTACAGTTTTTCCCATAGAAATGAATGGACAGTCCCCACAAAGAATCAATACAAACATTTGTGTGTGTGTGTGTGTGTGTGGGCGGGGAGAGTTCTTCAATGAACTGTTAGCCCCAGAATTTTAATAAACTCAGAACAAATTAATCTTTGTGTTGTCCAATATATATCGTCTCTATTACATTCTAACCTAATTGATGAGGTGGCTACTGAAAACATTTAAGGGAAATGTAATCCTTCTATACCCCACAAGGCTGCATAATATGACATTTATGACCCATCTGTTGTATTTAAAGCCCAAGACTGCTGGAGTTTCCCGCTCGTTCGTACGCCCTGCAAAGTGTGGCGATTTTTCGTCTTATTTAGCCCTGATTGTGCCTGTCAATAGCTTGAAGTCAGCAAGCTAATTTGGCTCAGCAGGAGCTCAGCTGCAGAGCCGTGTGCTCAGATGGCAAGGGGGGCGTACCGACGACAGTTGGGGGGGAAATGTTTCATGCAAGATCCTTGCTGTTGCTTTAAAAAAAACATTGCTTTATTGTTGGGTTTCTCAGATCCTTCTAAACAGCAATTAATTATTATTATTATAAATGATAATATAAATAAAATGTCTTCCTTCCACTCAGAATTTAATTAGCGACTGGGCTGATACCTGGCAGATGAAATTTGACGTAGATAAATGTAAGGTAATCCATGTAGGGAGCAGAAATATAAAGTTCAGATATTTTATGGGTTCCACTGAAATAAAGGTAGCTGATTATGAGAAAGACCTCGGTGTGTATGCTGATAATTCCATGTCCCCCTCTCGCCAGTGTGGGGAATGTCTCATGATGAGAGGTTAGCTGAGCTGAATCTCGTGCAAAGGAGATTAAGGGGGGACATGATCCAGGTATATAAGATTCTAACAGGTCTGGATGCTGTTCAGGCAAATGGCTACTTTAATTAATATTAGTTTAAATACTAGAACTCGTGGCCATAGGTGGAAATTAGCGGGTGAACATTTTATATTAAATTTGAGAAAACACTTCTTTACACAGCATGTAGTTAGAGTATGGAATAGTCTTCCTGCTAGTGTAGCACAAGCTAAAACCCTGGGTTCCTTTAAATCAGAGCTAGATAAGATTTTAACAACTCTGAGCTATTAGTTAAGTTCTCCCCAAACGAACTTGATGGGGCGAATGGTAAATTTCTTATGTTCTTATGGAAGAGAAGGTGGCAGGTGTTTTGTAATTAAGCTTTCTCTTAAACAGACATGCCAGCCTTTTCAGAGGGAGGAATTTCTCGCTTCTAAATCTCCCAAAGGAAAGGCCAGATTTTGGGCTGGAAGATTTTCAAGGCTCTCTGCTTGGTTCTTGCCACATGCAAGTATAACAAAACTTTCCAGATGAAGCACTTACAACACTGTTTTCGAAAAAGTTGGGACGCTGTGCAAAATTTGAATAAAAACAGAATGCAATGATTTGCAAAGCGTATAAACCCATATTTAATTAAAAGCAGAACAAAGACAACATATCAAATGTTGAAACTGAGAAATGTAATTGTTTTATGACAAATATATGCTGAATTTGAATTTGATGCCAGCAACACAGTTCAAAAAAGTTGGGATGAGGCAACGAAAGACCGGAAAAGTTGTGTAATGCGAAAACAAAACATGTGGTTGAATATCTCACAACTAATTAGGTTAATTGGAAACAGGTCAGTAAGATGACTGGGTGTAAAAAGAGCCTCCCGGAGAGGCAGGGTCTCTGTGCAGTGGAGATGGGGAGAGGGTCACCACTCTGTGCAGTGGAGATGGGGAGAGGGTCACCACTCTGACACACTGCGTGGGCAAACAGTGCAATAATTTAAGAATAATGTTCCTCAATGTGATATTGCAAAGAATTCAGGAATTTTATCATCTATGGTACAATATATCATTAAAAGATTCAGAGAATCTGGAGAAATCTGTGTACACAAGGGATAAGGCCGAAAACTAATATTGGATCCCTGTGATCTTCGGGTCATCAAGCAGCACCGCATTAAAAATAGACACAATTCTGTAGTGGAATTCACTGCGTGGGGTTAGGAACACTTCCAAAAACCATCGGCTGTGAACACAGTTTGTCTCATATCAGATGGAATGAGGCAAAATGGAAAACTGTCCTGGGGTCTAACTAATCAAAACTACAAATTCCTTTTGGAAATCATGGACGCTGCGTGCTCTGGGCTAAAGAGGAGAGAGACCATCAAGCTTATCAGCAGGCAGTTCAAAAGCCAGCGTTTGTGATAGCATGGCCGTGCATTAGTGTTTTAAGCTTGTTCGTCTGGGAAGGCAGCATTAATGCTATAGGAAATATACAGGTTTCGGACCAACATTTGCTGCCATCCAGACATCCTTTTCAGAGAAGGCTTTGCATATTTCAGCAAGACAATGCCAAACCGCATTCTGCGTGTATTACAACAGCCTGGCTCCATAGTAGAAGAATTTGAGTGCTAGACTGGCCTGCCTGCAGTCCAGACCTGTCACCATTTAAAGCATTTGGGGCAGTCCAGCAACTGGTCTCCTCAGTTCCCAAACGTTTACACAGTGTTGTTAAAAGAAGCGGTGATGCAACACAGTGATAAACATGCCCCTGTCACAACTGTATCGAAACGTGTTGCTGGCATCAAATTCAAATTCATCATGTATTTGTAATAAAACAATGAAATTTGTTTTATTGTTGAATGAGTTTCAACATTTGTCATGTTGCCTTTGTTCTATGAAATATTTGTATTCAATGAAATACAGGTTTATATGATTTGCAAATCGTTGCATCCTATTTTTACTTACATTTTACACAGAAAATGGGGTTGCATTGAAGTAACAGAATAAAAACATCAGTGTTGGCTGTACTTTTACTTTGTTCAGTTTGTGTTTGGAAAATAGAAGACTGGAAGTATATACATTCTTCTGCTGCTTGTTTTCTGAATGGTTTATTCAGATTTGGCCCATAGAATAGGGAAAACTGCAGTTACTTATAGTCCATTGATGAAAAAAACAGGTGGTATGCTTTAATGTGTGAAAAAATGTAATAATTTATTTTTAAATCGCTGGCATAAGTTTAGTATACACAGCATATGGAAGATTTATTTGGATATTGCATTGCAAATGCACAGCGCCATGAAATCTCCCACCCCCACCTCCCCTCCCCTCCCATCCATTTTCGTAATTTTTCGGTCTCAAAAATGGGGGGGGGGGTAACTATCGTATCATTTTGCAATCGTAAAAATGTAACCCTCCTAATTTTTCCACCGGGTTGCTGTCAATTGGAGCCTTACTTTTAATATAGTGTAACTCCGAATATAGTCGCTAGATGTCAGCAAAGTATACCATAATAGCAATTCATGTGATTCACGTTTTGGCTACAATATTTCAATTAAACGATATGAGATACTTGTATCGGAAATTTACATTGAGAGCTAAGATAAAAGTATAAATACATCATTTAAAAATAATTTTAGCCAAAAGAGGCATGCTGCGGTCAGATCAATCTTCCAAAGAGAAATACGGATAATTTGTTGTATTACACTACTGAAATTCCAATTATTAAAGGGGATAAATAGTGAGAATCATCAAAATATTCTCTTTTACACCTAAAGGTTTGTTTGCATATATTTTTAGCTGCTCTGTGAACTATCATGTGAATATGTGTTATCATTTATAATATTATTAATATAGGTGATGCAGTTCTTCAATTCAGAGGCTGGCATGAATAAAAAAAATCTTCATAAATAAGATGCATGTTAAACAGCGATGCTTAAAGGGAAATCTGACCTCCTACCACCCTGCTCCCTGCCCCACCCTGCCTCCAGCACCTGAAGACCACAATCAGAATCAATTCATCAGCTCTATGGCAACAGCGACTATGGTGTCATTACCCCTCTCATGCCAAACAAGCACTTGACTCACTCAGACAACAGAGCTGTCATCTACCAATCAGGCTAAAAAATAAAGGTTCCCTCTGGGATATTCATGTTGATTGTCATTGTGTTACACCAGCAGTTATACCCCTCCAACACTCCTCCAAGTCAAATCTATTTATAACCTCCAGAGGCCAACAGGGTGGCACTACTAACTACTGTGGTGATTTTGTGCCCTTTTCGCATTTTACCTGCCAGCATACATCCACAGAGTTCAGAAGTCCTACTCTCCAAAATTCCTGCCATCTAACATGTGGGACTCTTTCTGCATGACGTAGCCATTTTAAATATCACGGCCTTTGCATTTTCTGTAACGGCAGGGGTGAGATACGGTGTGGATGGAACACCAGTCTGCCGACTCCCACACTCTGGTCGCAACTTGATTTGAATTTCACCTGAACCCATGTCTCTGGGCTAAGTGGAGAAGATGGACCCTGGGTAGAAGATGCAAACGCCACACACTTAGAGCTGGAGCCATATTTGATAGTGATAGAATCTGACACATTCGTGCCATTAGTGCAATGAAAAGAATATACGTATCCATAGGCACTACACTTATCCAGATGATGACTGCTATCATACTGTAATCATCCAACACATTTAAAAATAGCTGTGTTTGCACAGGGATTTCCACCTATAACTCAAACACATGCAGACTAGAGAACCTGGTGTCTCTTGAGTGTGGTTGTGTGAATTTTTTTAGCAAATACTTTTGTTTATAACAATGTACCAACATACGTACCTGTGTGTGTTTGTTGTGCCTTGTAATTAACTGGCATCTCATCCATTATGTCCCATGCTGTGGTTTTTTTGGAATACACTCCTGGCTCATCATGAACCTGTGCTGGATTAGTGCTGATGGCAAACGGGAGGAGAGGACAGGGATGCTTTCACTCACAAACAAACGGTGCAGTAAAGCTGTGAGCACCGGTTGTTCTGGGTGAACAGTGGTTCAATCGGCTCATCTTCAAGCCCATGCTCTGCTGATCCAGGTGTTACAGGGAGCTGCTCAGGAAGGATGCTCGTGGTCATTTCCGTGTACTGTGACCAAGCCCCCTCCCACCCTTTTTCACCAGCAGGAACTGAAGGACAAGGCTGCAGACATCAAGACAGCTGGCCTAGAGGGAGGACAACAGGATGGGGGGGGGGTAAGTGGTGGAAGAAATGAAAGAAAATGAGAGCTCAGATCTGTGACCGGCTCCAGAAGGACCTCTGGTGAGGGGCCAGTGACAGCAGCTGTCATGGATGATGTTTCTTTTATTAGTTTGAAAGTCAGTCTCAGGATGCATCTGGGAGGACCCAGCCTCGGTGGCCTGAAGTCATTTATTATGTACTGGGAGGGAGAAGACGAGTCTAGTCTTTTGTCCTTTCGAATCAATTGTCTATCACCAATAAAAATGCCGGTTCCACCCTACATCATGTGCAGTAGTATGATAAATAAAAACTTCAAAAAAGAGATGACATTGGAGTCCGGTGAAGAGGAAGAACGAGCTTTGGGCCAAATGAACAGTCTAGTTGATTCTGTGCTAATGGTCACTCTAAGGAGCATCTTCCGGGGGACTTGTGCTGAGAGAATTCGGAATTAAGCTAGCAATGAACTACGTGCAACAATTAAGTCAAAGTGGCAAGTGCGTGCCCATTCCTAGAACTCCCCCTCCGGGTGTTAAGAGCTCTTCGGGGAACTTTAATTAAAAGCAGCAAGCTCTGCCAGGCGGGCTGTCCGTCCACCGTAGACGCAGCACGGGAGCGGAGAGTGCCCTGTGGCGGACCGCTGGCCCACCCCTCCTTCCCTTGACGCCGATACACCTCTCCATCGGGACCGCCGAGCTGATTTAATCAACGGGTTCAGCAATGACTGCGGTGAGGAAAGTAAAGGAGCAGGGCCTGCTGTCGCGGTGTTGATAACATTACACCATTTGCGGGGGTCTCCTTCAAAGGATTCAAGAACGGCGACATTAGCCAAATCATGTTATTAATTACGAGACGGATTTTCTCGGTTTGATTCAAATATGCTACCCATGGCCAAAGTATGTATCTTAGTTTGGAAAATCATTGTATTTGGGTTCTGAGGTCTGAATCACGGTGACTCATTTTTGAAATCAGTTCGTTGATGGTTTTAAAAGACTTTCATTACCTTGCTTGAGCCAGATTTTAGTGAGCAGTGTCTGACGAAGTGGTGAAACCATGACCTTGACAAGCGGCGGCTTGTGAGATCACGTGGTTCTGTGCCACTTACCCACTTGTCTCGGTTTTGTTGGCGAAAGTACGCGCGCTTGATTTTGTTATGTATTATATAAAAATTTCTCGCACTTTATTTCGCATGGCACCATGCAGCGAGATGCACACGCACGGCAACCAAGTTCTTGACAAGCCATCTCATGCTGTGAACAAAGAGGTCATCCTGAGTATTTATACATGCTACACGCGAAAGGACATGTTTTTGGGAACTGCAAGGTCAGCGCTTGTTGCGTACTCTGCTTATCGACGACTGGGCAGTGAATCCGACACTAAAGTGCGAATTGGCTGCTGCCTGTCTCATTTGGTGCAATTACACTGCAGGTGTAAGTGTCTTCAAGTGTTGAGGTGCAGGATTTAACACTAAAACAAACAGCTAAATTAGTCACAAGGAATTATTTATTACTTACCACATCCCATCATGCACAATGCAGGAATAATCTTGAATTTCTGACACTTCTCGTTAAATCCAATACAGGTGGTACATCAGGTTTTAGCTGCCCCGCCCTTTGAGGTTTTATTCCCAGTGTTAAGTTTCACTAGCCAAACAAGTAACCTCACCTCTGAAAACAAGCCCAAAATAAGCCCACTGTGCAAAGTAAGATGGTGAAATCAAACTGAACAATAAGCCCAATATACACGACCACATGGAACAGAGTTTGTCCTGTGTTTTCCATATTATGCGTGTTCCTTGTACATGTAACATGCAAACAAACGTAACTGGAGGCATTGTTGTAACGTTTTAATTTATCATTTTCTTTTGTTACTGTGACAGTAAATAACTAAATATGGTCATTTGTAGCACGTTTTACACACATTATTGGATACTGAACTCCGATATCAAACACAAAGAAATTATTGGTGAGAGAATGCAAAATTATGTGATATATCTGCATAACAAGAAGTCTTAATAAACCCATAACCACTCAAATTTAAATGAAGTGATTAACTGATTAAATTAACTGAGCTAGCCAAAATGGCTGAAACTAGCCAGCAAGGAAACCAGTGAACTGTTGTGTGAATCAGGAGAGGCAATGATAGAGTAACTTAAAAAAATATATATATTGTGAAGACCCCCCACCACCCGGCAAATAAATGGTGTTCAAAATACCATCCATTATCTATGGACAGTTATGACAGTATGCAAAATTAAATAAGATTATGGCTAAGATCAACTTTATTGATATCAGGGGGAAATTACTACCGAAGCATAGTTACACATAGCCTAAACAAAAGGCAGCATTTGATGGCATTATGTCGTTTAATTTTAAGCTATTTTATGCAGGTTAGCCAGTCAGCTGTCTGTCAATTGTTTCATTAATGATGAAAACCACAAACTTAAAATAAGAACAAGCACAAAAATTGCATCCTGCAACTCAATGGAATTATTAGCGACTTCAGAACAAAAGCCCAAAGTCGCTTATAAGAGGCAGACTTGGCAACATTGTTCATTGACTGCTGTGGACTCATTATATAGCTAGCCTAGGCCCAGTGAAAATAGAGATAATTATTCTGGACCTTTTTGTTATTGAACTACTAAGAGAACAGTCAGTATAACGAATTCTAAATGCTCCAATTTGTCTGATCGTGAGCAGGCGAGTTTCCCCGATCCAAATAGATACGAAATCGGGCAATAGATAAATAAAATCACAAAATAAAATGTATATATCAACAAAACAGCAGGGGCCAGTGAAGATTACTGTAAGGAAATGTGCGTACACTTCAATCTGACACTAAACCAACACTGTTTATACTGTCATCAGAGTGCAAACTATTGGTAATCTACTGTATACAGATGTGGCAACTCCTCCTCTCTTTAGATGGACCTATAACTGGACAAACCATATACTATTTAAAATTCATATTTCCATCCTAAATTTAACATAAGTTTCACGCCCCTTCCTAACGCCCCAAATAGGCCTACACTGCAGCCTTCAGCCTCTGGCGCCCTATAAATAATAAAAATAAAACTAGGCCTATTTGGAGAGAGAAAGATTTAAAGGCGGGGAAAATGCACGTTGCCGGTAATTTCGTCGTTTTCCTATATACCTATGTTACCGCCGGCCGTGCCACGTTTGACCGCTCCCTTTAATTAAATTCACACTGTCCGCTGATCTACTCGTCTTATTCCTACGGCAGCCTCGCGGCCACCGAGATTGCTACCGGGGGATGCAGTAGGACAGGCACACAGCACAGAAGTGACCCAGGACAGGGATGAGAGACAAAGGAAATCACGGCTAGAGTGTCGGCACAAAAAAAAGGAGGAAAAAAGACGACACGGTACAGTCGACTCCTGATGAGGGACGATCGCTCATCAGGGAGAGAAGTGCTACATCCCTTGGGTCTCCGCCGGCCGGCCCGAGAGGTCGTCACGTGATCCTCCTCTCGCCGGCGGCGTTACCTTTCACTACTAACTCCAATGGTGTCTTAATTACAGCAGCGATCTGGAGACTGCATCTTTTTTTTTAGCACTTATATTCTCTCCACGGCCGTTTGACAATGCAATTGCGAAGTTGCGGTTTGGCGGCACGGCGAAAAGAAAAGAAAAGAAAAAAAAACATCATGCTTGTGAGTTTCTTTTTTCTCTCTTTCATTTGCTCACAAGGTGAATTACACAGGAATATGCATAGGTGTCACATATGTATATTCCCTGTGTTTCGTGATACGACACTGAATGAGCATTCACTGGGATGGAATCGACTGTAGCTTATAAATAAAAAGTGAAAAAGAGGAAAACGACAGTAGAAACGGGAGAAGAACGAGAAGACACTGGAGGTCGCGGGAATGTTATTACAACAACACGGACAAGCACCAGAACAACACAACACGCAAAGAGAGACAAGTATTAGGAAAAATGGTTTAATATTGGAGACAGAAGCAAAAAACTGCATCACACAAGAACATACGTTTACAAAAATAAGTCTGACTGTTCCAGCTACACAGTTAAGTTCACAGCGAAAGACAGAAGAACCAGAAAAGTCTAAACAGCTAAAAGCAAAAAATCTCTAATTTGTTTCTCATTGTTAAACTAATACATTTATCCACTGAATGTGACTAAATACGTCTAATCCTAATCTTTTTTTATCGTGTAAACGGCACAATACATTAAATGAAACTTACCGCTTCTGTATTGACAAACTTCATTATTATGTATGAGTCAAAAGAAAACCAGCTCTCTCCGCCCCTTTTCAGAAACCAAAATAAAAGGTGAGGGGAAAAAGAACAGATCAAAGAAATCAAGCCAAAGTTCTTCTAGAAAATCTTATATCAAAACCCAACTTTCTTCATGCCAGCTAGAAATCAAACTCGAGAACCAGTCACGGTCCGGCCACACGACGAGGCCAGACAATTTTCCAATTTTTTTTGTTCCTTTAATCTCCGTATAAAAAGTTCCACTGTTACAAAATGCATAAGTACAATCTGTTTGTAGAAATAGGAAATCCTGCTTTTTTGTACTTTTAAAATCCCATCCAATGACAGAGTTTGAAGTGTTGTTAAACAAACATAAATCACACCGACATATTCCACTGTAATGCATTGACTTTGGCTTTTCTCAAGACAATACTTAAAACTACTCAAACCCTTAATAATAAAGTAAATGATATTAATCCACAGACAACAAGCTCTTACGTCACAGGAGAGAAACCACATACATATTTTTGTCTCAAAATGTTGACATTATAAACCAGAAATGCAAAGAAACTACAGCTTTTATTCCGTTGTCATTAAATAGCACTTAAGATAATTATAAAGGAAAAAATAAAATTAAAAAACAAACAGTGACACAAAATTCAGATCCTACAAGCTTGATGTAAAAACCCCCCTGAGGTGAGAGACTCCACAGTAAGCCAGTAAATATTGTGCTTTTTAACATTTAACACGGACGACCTATCTTGCCACTGACTTGTCCTGATTCGAAACACCGACAGCCGGAGATACGGTTCCCGTACAAGGATTGTGCTCTGAGATTTACTACAATGCAGTTTGCGTCTGTGAGCCGATGTGCGGGTGAATTAACAAGTGTGTGAAATCGGTGACCTGAAAGTAAGCAGGTTTGTGTGTGTGCTATACATGCAATAATTTTCCATTTGCAAATGTAGGCTATTTACAGTTTTAATAACCAGATAAATTACAGATACACAGATTAGACAAAAACAGTTATACCGAATTTGTAGAAAAAGAAGAGTGCAAATGCGTTCCTTGTTGGAAAGAATCTCGAAAGTCCCTCGGGATGTGGGCAAGACTGCGGGAAGTCTTTTAGGGGAAAGGCAAACGATGGCGCCTGTACCCCCATACCCAAGCAGAGAGGGGGCACACATGCAATGCAGCAGACTGGCGGAAAACCCTGCAATTCGCCGAAAGCGACATGCCACTAAGACGTCTTTACAATTTGAAAAGCTATTAAGCTATAAGTTAGACTACTCACGTCACGTCAGGTAACTCACGTCAGTTTCTCCTGGTTGCATTTCGCGGAGCAACCTGCACTTCGCGGGATCTTCTCCTCTTAATGATCAGTTTTTGGTCTTGGCTTACACGTGTTTTAATTAACCTAGGCTCCCAGTACAAAATTTCCAATTGTTCATAATACTCTTCAAAGTTATTAAAATCTAAAATTAAGCTTAAGTAAATAATCACTGTAAGAGCACAAGTATGTTAATGCTACCATCTGTACTATATTAGTACTACTATAATAGGTAGATGATAGAGTCAATAATAATAATGCACAAAATAATTATAAATTATTTGAATTGTTGTTGTTATAGCAGACATCCCACCTTTGGCATATTAATGTCAGTGAGGCAGATGAGGGACAACCGCGAGGAGGGTCCTCGGTAGGCTCGGCGATATTACGGTAATACCATACACAGTGGCATTTTCGTCCAAAAATCTGTTCGTGCGAAAATACCTCCCAAGCGCTGGGCAAGTCTTTTCTGGAAATACCGAAATAGTTTCGATTTTCAAAATACTGAATACCGCTATAATGTCTAGACAATATGCCGGCATTAAAGGTGTGGTCACACTAACGCGAAAAAATATTCATGTGCACGCGGAGATCCCTCACTTCCAGTGGCAGAGCGTTTTGGCGGGAAAGAGCGCTAGAGGGTAGATACGATTTGCGGACATTGTGGGCCACACCTGAGGTGGTGAAACGTCTAACGCCGGTAATTTAATAATATAATTCATATTTAAACCGCCGCCATTCCCGCATCATTCCAGGGTGTCACAGATCTGCTGTTATCTTTGCGGGAGACTCCTCGAACTTCCGGGAGAGGTGGGATGTCTGATATAGCAATAGTAGTAGTAATAATACTATTATGCACTCATACTATCCTAATACTAATAAAACAAAAGGGAAACGCTTCTGGAGCTTTAAAAAATACTTATGTCCTGCAGTAAAAGCCAGAATAATGAAAATTTACCTAGTTGTGGTCCCAGGAGAAATGTTACGGCTACATTTGAACAACAACCAGCACACTGAGGGTGGGATCACTGAGGAAGAGCCTCTTTGACGCGTGAGACAGGCAGACGAGTGTGAAACACTGGTAGGTACATCAGCCCTTCAGTTAAGGCGGTGGGTGAGTTTCGTTAAAAAATGGTGTCACGGTTTGCCGACGGTAAACGCGTCTCTACAAGGCAGGGACTGTGTGGTGTGTGTGCCTCTGCGTGTGTATGTGTGTGTATCTGTTTGTGCAGAACATATTGCAACACTGCAAAAACCAACAGGATTGTCATCCTGTGCCTTGTAAACTTTTAGACTGTTATACAAGTAAACAAATAACTTTGGCATGAGTAAACTGTTTAGGCTGTCAGATTGATAACGTAACGTTTGTGTTTGACAATAACATCTTATTTACATCTGCCAGGTTTCATTAAAAAATAAAATTATTTGTGTCCCAGACCAATGAGGTACTTCCACATTAATATTGACAGTCTCTCAACATTTGCATTTCATCATAGAAAGACATGGAGATGACTGTTTCTGGTTAATACTCTTAGGTGTGCTTAGAGGGGTCTGGTAGGTTTCTGAACTCCTGAACCTTGGTTTGCTGGCGTGATTTTAAGCAAAGGGCACGCGAGTCATGCATGTTGAGTGTCTGGACCTAGGCCTGCTTCTCTAAAGCTAGAACATTCCTAGAGTTATGGTGCCATGCCCCAGGGATGTAAACAAAGAAGAACCCAGTCACCAACTAACAGAGGCAACCATAGCCACTGATTCTGTACTGATCTAATAGTATGGAGACAGAAAGAGGAGACTCTTGAAGTAAGGCTTTGATTTTGGCACTTTAGCCTAGCAGGTCAACCAACCGCATGCCAAGGCCTTGTGAGATGGTGTGTGAGTGAGAGACAGAGGAAGTAAGGGGGATCATGGGAAGTGAGGGGTAAAGGCTGGCTGAGGAGGGTCTCACCTTCAGGGGTCCCACAATTGAAAAGAAAAACCAGAAGACCATGAGCTGCGTGTGTGTGCGTGCGTGCGTGTGTGTGCTTGCGTTTGTGAAACATGGGCACTTTGTACATCATTACAAATAAAAAGCAAAAAACATGAACACTTTTCAGGCAACAAGACCACAGAATAGCAAGTTAAACTTTTTTTAAATCTATATCTTTAAATATGAGGGATCCATACAAAACACAGAAGTAATAAAATACCCATGTTATCAAATAAGTTCACACGAAATACACTGAAGCTCTATGTAGGAAGTACCTCTGGAATTTGGCACAGAATTCCACTGATGTTGCTTTTTTCTTTATAAGAAAAGAAATCACATTTTGCTGAACAACAAAACATCTACAAATTGTTTTCCACAATAGAAAGGAAAAAAAAAATGACATCGATGCTTCACAAGCTGACACGGTTTTTTTTGTTGGTTTGTTTTTTTTCTGTTTTTTTTTTTTTTTTTGAATTTCAAATAGCTAATTTACCCAATAAGAGATTTTGCAAAAAGGGACTGGTAGAAAGAAAAAAATGATAATCATAACAATAATATGAAAGGCTTAGTATATTGTTCAAGTAAACCGATTTTTAGTCTTGTCTTCAAAAACATGGAACACGTAAGACTCTTGGACCTGTGAAGTTACCACAACTTAAATCCACAAAAAGCACCGACGTAAACGAAGGTTACACTTGTTTTCTCTTTTTTCTCTATACATTTAAACAGTATAAAATATAGGTAATTTCATGTGCATTTAACCACGGATTGTCTAACTGTGAATCAGTTCAGCAAAAGGTGACAAGTAGGTAGCATTTTCCCCCCAAACAGGGCAAATCTTTTTTTTAATTATTATTATTATTTTTTTTTACCTTAAACTACTCTAGAAAAAAGTGGTTTTGTATATAGATTTAAATCAGAAAGTAAGCCACTTCAAATGGCCTTATCAAAAAACTTTACACTGCCTGAAAAATGTAAAAACTGTTACAGAGCTCTGAGAGATCCTAATATTAATCAGACAGTTTTTCTTAAAAAACTGTTCGGAAGTAGTCTATTTTTCCTAGAAACTGACATGGGTAACTCCTGGCCTCATATTGCTAGTGGTGCCAGCAGCTTTACCTAATGTCAATCCCTGTATTGTACTTTCAAGTTTACCATCATGAAAAGAAAGGAAAAAAATAATAATAATAAAATTAAAAAAAATCAAAAACTGAGAGGAAAAGAACAACCAAGAAATATTTGCCACAGGTTTTGTTTTTAAACTATTTTTTCTGATTTTGTTTCTAAAACTTCTGATGTATGAATACAGATACGCTTTCACATTGATTTGTTTTTTTTCTTTTTCCCTCCCCAGCCCTCCCCTTTTTCCAATGTTCAAAAGCTCAAAATGAGGTCACATGCAAAAAAAAAGAGAAAAAAAATCCAAAAAGTCAAGCTAGGTTCAAAGGTCAATAGGTCAATAGAAGGAGACCAGGTTATGATCAGGTGAGCTCAGAAAGACATCAGGAAAAACAATGACTGGACGATGAGACGTTTGAGTTTTTTTTTTTTTGGACGCCACGGAGACATGCTAGGCAAACGATGAGCTAACAGGAATGAAGATGTTCTAGGGAGAAAACAAGGGAGAGGACAGAGTTACACACAGGGGGCCAGAGCCGCAAGACTACATCATTTCAGATCATGGCCACAAGAAACAAAACAGCAATGCAAATCACCAGGTTATCACAGAAAGCTAGGATTCACATTAGAATTTGCATTTAAAACAACAACAACAAACACACGTACACGCAGCCAGAGGCTAACCTCACATGTATACCGGACACGCACACGCTCGCTCGATACACACACACAAGCACGCTTAGCACCCTAAGCGATCCATCTTGAACAAGCCTCCGAAAAAAAAGTAAAAATAGAAAAATAACAGAGGCATGGGGATGGATGGCATTTTCGTTTGAAGGGAAAAAGAGCCACTGATAGGTTTTGCGAACGAACAAACGGACGGACGGAACGGAATGGGACGATGGGAGTCCGGACAGCTGAAGAACCACTACCGATGGAGGGGATGGGGTAGGGTGGGGTGGTGGAAGAGAAGGAAAGAAAATACAGAGCAGGGCGGGGAGGCGTGACCTCCGAGCGGCTCTGGAGAGCGGCAGTCACATGTGTGATGAGCGAGGGCTCCATGTTCTCTGGGCTTTCAATAAGACTATTTCACAAGCTTATCGACGCCCGTGAGTTCTGCTCTACAGGTACCCCAATAAATTAAAAGGCAATAAATAAAGTTTGTTTTCTGAGGCAGTAAAAATTTTTGTATAAAAATAGAACTGCTTTTTTTACAAATAAAATTTACAGGCCTGTGGCTTTCCGTACTGTAATTTTTTTTTATCTTTCAAGAAACGTCAAGTATTTTCAGTTTCCACCCCGTAACACTATTTGTTTTGTAGCAATAGACGGATTTAAGATGTATATATATTATTTTTAAATGTTCTACACAATATCGCATTCAAACAAAGACCAATGTGATCTGACCAAGTAATGAATAGTTCTTTTTCGTTAAATTTTGTTAAATAAAAATATTCCTAGCATACATAAGTTAACGGTTGGCACATTTATCGGGTAACATATTTGGGCTTCTGTTACTGCTGACTTTGACAGGGCACCACGTTAACCCTTTAACACCCTGAGGCCAGCCAAGTAAGAGCAGTGTCAGGATTTTCAGGCTGGCCCTAGGGTCGGGGTTAAAGTGTGTCTTTTTGTCTACACCGATTTCAGACGTGTCCATTGGGTGTCATGTTTGTGGAGACAGACATCGTGGATTTTCCGTCTGTTTGGTGCAACAAAATTTAAGTAGCAGTAAACAGTTGGGGGAAAAAAAAACGTTCAGACAACTCAGAAGCTACCAGTAATAGCTACGTATCTGTTTCAAGGCGCAGGTTAAAAACAATATATATATTTATATATATATAATTTTAAAAAATCAAAAATGCGGGAATGGAAGCGGTCATGTGAAAAATAAGAAAAATCATATCAATCCCAATGACAGCTCAAAAATAAATGAGACAGTGTCTCCCTCTGGTGGTGAATCGTTGCTGCACAGTATCCACCCCTCTCCCACCCATGCCCCTCCCCATGACCCCCCCTCCCCCCCCCAGCCGCGGCTCGTCGCGCACTTACCCTAGCAGTGCTAACATGGGGGCGCTAAGGGGCTAGTGCTAAGATCAGTACGGTTTGCTGTCATTCTTGGAGCGCTTCAGCTGCACCTTCAGCCGCTTCATGCCGATTTGGAAGCCGTTCATGGCCTGGATGGCGGCCTGCGCCGACACCGGATTGTCGTAACTCACAAAGCCTATACGGGGTGATAAAGGGACAGAGGGCGTGTGGCTAAGCTGAGCATGGCAGAAAAGGAGAGATGCTGACTGAGGTTTGGGTGAATTATAGAGACAATAAAAGAAACAATGGGTACAGTTTACCAAGCACCTTTTATTCTTGGACATGTCCCGTTTTTCAGGTTCTTGGGTCTCCTTTTCTACCAAATTTAGGTACAACCTCATCTATTCTGACAGCGTAATTTGATTTATGAGGCATCCCAGCTATCTCCCACACCTAAGGAGTGTCCTATTCCCTTTTAAAATTTCACACATAGTAACCTGAGATGGACCTGGGCTTGGATCAAAAATCTATCAAGCTGAGGACCCAGGAGAATCTCCCTCTCTCATACTTAACCTCCACTACTCCTGTAAACCAGTCCAGCTATATGAATGAGCACTTGTGACAACCGTGGCTTATGCGTGCTGTCTTAGACAAATAGAGTTGCTAACTGGCTGGAATTATGGGAAACAAGAGGTGGAATATAAAGAGAGCATCCATGGTAATTGAAATATTCTGATCAAACTCATGAGACAACATCTGATCCATACAGCTGCTTGTAGTATAACAGATGAAAGAATGCACTGTCAGACATTACCCACAACACTGGTATGTTGTAAAGATGCTGCTGTTATCAGCCTGGAGATATGGTTGTAACAGTATGCAGCAAGAGTGTCATGGAACTTCTTGTTTTACTGTTTTGTCATTGACACATTTTATTTTACAGTCACATCTCTAAAGGTGTTACTTTGGCTCGGTAGGCTAAAAGGTTTGATTCCTATGCATTTTGCATGTTATCCCACTGTTGACACCGATTTATTCCGGTCAGCCCAAAGACAAACAGTTTGACTGAATTAGCATCTGTAAAACTGTACGCTTGTGTGTGCTAGTCCCATGATTTACTGGCATTTCGGCCCCTATACTTCTTGGGACAGACTCAATGTGAGCCAAACCCTGTACTGCATACTTCTTGATTTTCCAGCCTGTGCATAATATTAGTGTATAGCACACAACCACCTGCCTTTGTTTTGAAAGCTTGAAATTACCAATCAGAGCAGCCACATACCAGGTAGCTGGTCAAGGTACAGACCAGAGTACATGTAATATTATTGCTGACTACATTAAACTGTGACATTACCTGTGATCACAGAGACACAAGAATGGCACGGCTGAGACATGGATGTACTGATCGCATGTAGTGCAGAACGGGGACTACGCACCGAAGCACTTGCTCAGGTTGGTCTGTTTGTCGATGAAGACTTTAGCGGAGACCACGTTTCCGAAAGGCATGAACATCTGCAGGATGTCCTGGTCCCCGAATTCTTGGGGAAGGTGATAGATAAAGAGGTTGGCACCTTCTGGACCTAAAAGATGGAGGAAGGAGATATAACATGTAATATGGTGTGAGTTGGCTCCCAACAGGGGGGTGCCAGAAGGAGCGAGAGGCTGCAACAGGTGGTCATTGGAGGGGACCGGAAGAGAAAATACAGAAAGAGTAGGATGGAGGGAGGGAGGGGAAGCAGTAAGCGGGGGGACACTTATGGAACTTGTTTTTGTTTTGTTTCATGGCTCGGGTGACTCACCCTCCTTCTGGCTGCCGGCAGCACCCTGCTGCTGCAGCAGCGACTGGCTGTAGAGCGTGGGCAGGGCGGCAGCGGCGTACTGCTGGATCCCTGAGTAGGCCTGGCTCAGGGCGTCCACGGAGGCGGCTGTGCCATTGGTGAGCGCTGCGGCACCCAGGCCACCGTTCAGGGCCGCCATACCTGAGAGCATTTGAGCAACTTTACATAAAACCCAACAATAAAGAAAGAAGATCGACCTTATTGATCAGCGCGTCTCCTCAGGTGTTACACACACACACACACACACACACACACAAAACATGGTCTCACTGAAACAGAAATACAGAAGAAACAAACATGCGCACTGAAACACAGAGAAACCACACACACAAGTAATGAGACACAAACTTAAAACACACAAACACAAAGAAACATACGCAAACTAAATCCACATACTCATGGTTAAACACATATAAAAACATACAGAGAGAGAGAGACACACACACACACACTCTAAACACACAAAGTAGTACACACACACTAAAGCACAGAAATACATGCACTAAACACTAGGCCTGCACAATATTGGGGGAAAAAAAATCACATCATGATATGTGAATTTTTTTTTTTGCGATAAGTACTGCAATATTCATAAAACTTAAAAAAATTGAGAACTACAGCCAAATAGAACTTATCTACCAAAAGAATCAAATAAGTTGGTGCTGTTGCTGCGAGTTGTGCTAAAACAAAGCAAGCAGTGCCGACAAATCATTTGCTTTTACTTAGTATCGTCTCTATGGAATCCAAAATATTTCCATACAGTGGAAGACTGATCACCAATTATTGTTTGTGTTTCTCATCCTGAATCATTCTTGTTAAATTTCTCGCAAACATATCACACTGTCTGTGAGTGAGAATGATTATAACCGCATGCAGAGCTCATGCAAAAACAGCAGTAGTAAACTTTAAATGGATTTTTATAACACATTTTAGATACTCTTGAAAATGATCTTTAAAATTGTAAAGCTTGCTAAGTTTTGTTTCCTATGGCAGTATAAAAATGTTCTAGCGAATCTCATTGGCCAACGATTGATTGTACGGTCCAGATTAAATTGTATTTTGGTCTGGATACAGAAATACGGGACAAATGATGTCCTATATCAGTTCATAATAGGACACAACCTTTTATTTTTCAATATGGGGACAATTCTATAATAAACAGGATGGGTGGAAACTCTAAACCCGGCTGCCTAACTTGGTCATTGCGATGTGACAATTGCATGTGCATAACATGTGATATTGATATTAACATTGCACATTGTGCAGGCCTACAAAACGCACAGAAACACAAACGGACACAGAAACACGCACACGCACTTAACACACACTGAAACACATTCAGACACAGACATACATAGAAACACACATACACATACGTACCAAAACCCACATACTGCATGCAAACACATACACAGAGGGACTTGGAGGTGAATGGAGAGCGCCCATGCAGCACACAGGAGAGGACCTCACAGAAAGCAGCCTTGCTGCACACATGCATGAGCCACAGCACTCTGTCCTGAACTCAGCTTCACCACCACACCACCGGTATCGACAAGCCAATAGCACCTCCACTGCTGGCTGGATGCAATATTTACAGCAGGTCAGACTTGGCGGTAGAAAACCAGTGTGTTTCTGAAAATGCCTCTACCTAGGGACCACAACTAGACCACACTGCACTTTGCTCTGGGTGGGGGGGGGGGGGGGGGGGGGTGGTAAAGACCGCAAACAGGGAAAGGCCTTGCAATTATGGCGGGTGTAGCTGCGACCTTTTCGGTTTAATCACATAGCGGACAAGCTCAAATTACACGCAAGAGACTGGAAAAAGCATGTATTAATCAAGCGGGCCATTCATGGGCTAGCTGGGCTGATGGAAATCGACCGGTGCACACCCATGGATGCGAGGGGGCGCGGAGCGCGAGAGGGTGTGAACGCTGACGGATCGATGGCGCTGCTCAAATAAGATTACCGTAATCACCCAGATGGCGACTACTAACGACTACACTATCCTGTAATCGTGGTAACAGGTGGTGTGTCCATTTCACATATGGTTAGTGTACAGTTTCTCTGTCCCAGGTCTGTCTGTAGGTCTGTAAACACAGAGATATGGGTATGCACAGTGTTTAAATGAAACTTGTAGGACAAAAGAACTCAGAAAAATAACGGGACAGGGCTGTTTGCTTGTCAACGGCAGGGTGACGCAGGTTACAGAGTGATGCATAGCAGACACACACACACACACATGCTCACGCACGGTGTGGCTGACAGCCAAGCCAGATACCGAACAGCCCTGGCAAAATGATGGTGACGCCAGAGAGACCGCAGTGGCAGGGCTGGGGGTCGTGGGGGAGGGGGGCACCAGCACAAATCAGGCCTACCAATCTGGTGTGGTGGACCAGTCAACTGGCTGCCGTGAGGTCCCCGCACTGATGGTCAGACATCTAAAAGTCTTGCCTGAGGCAGACAGCTGGGACAATTAGCCATATCTGGTCCTTTACACTAACACTATACAAAGGAGTATGGTCTGTTTTGGACAAGAAACAGCCTACAATGGAATGATATTTATCCTTTTAATAACAATGATAATAGTAAGATTAGTCTATCTAGGTAGGTAACCAACTGGTTGTGGGTAACTTGCTGTGGATGGAGATGGTGGGATAGTGCTAACCACCCACTTGATTTTTATCTCCCAGCCTTAATATATAGAGACATGAACAGTGGAAAGTGGCAGTGACATGGAAATGCATCCATTTTATAAATCTGAAAGTAAACATCTATCCCTAGAGACAATCTGGCTTTTATATAAAGATGGTTATGCTTTAGAAATTCCAGTCACCCTGTGTGGGATAAGTAGCTGCAAGATGGCTGGCTGGACAGCAGAAATGCACATTGCGGTCTTACTGTTTATGAACCAAGGGGTAGGGGATGTGGGGCGACGGCTGGGTGTGGGTCACATGACGGGTGTGGGTCACATGACGCATGTGGGCAGGGCCGCGGCAGATGGACATTGAATACTCACTGTTGACGGTACCTGCTAGTGCATTAATGTTGTTGAGACCCACGGTGGCACCGGCAAGGCCCTGCAAGGTGCCAAGCGAGGTCAGCGAGTTCATAGCCGCCCCAGCGTTGGAGTTGGCTGTCGTGCCTGCTGCTGGGGGGGGGGGGGGGGAAATGAAGGACAGACAGACAGAGATATGCAAGAGATTTAGGAATAGAAGGCTAGAGGTCCTCACTGTAACTCTACTGGAATCACACCAGCATATGAGAAGTAGGGGAACAAATACAAATCACAACTGCGTTTTAACCCCTCTTCCAAAAACCGACCCTTGATTTAACTGTTAACTGTTAACTTGATTTTGTGCCAAACGACTGTCTGTGTGTCTGGATTAAGAGATTCCCAAATGCGTTCTTCTGACTCATAGCCCCACTGACTCCAGCTTTAAGTCAAACAGCCAATCAACTGGCACCAGTTAGCAGAGCAAAGTGCTGATTGGAGGACATACACAACCCTCAACCAATAACTCATAGGCCCCTGACAGATTAAAGTAGCCTCCAGTAACAAGTGGAACAGCCTTCCGATTTTCAGTAAAGACACCATGAGTTTGCTCAATCATTAGGAGGTGCTGACCACAGTTCATATTTAAAAAATATGACCATATTAGGAGGTGCTGCACATGAAGTATGTTATCCCAGGCATTTGTATTCTGGGTAGCGATATGCTAACATCTGGTCTGAATGTAGAGTGAAAGAGGCTAATGGAATAATCCAGATGTGGAACATCCTGTCCACCTTCTTTGTGGTTCCATTTTATTCAGTTTAATTGCTGTCTGTAAACTGAATACTATTTGTAATCTTCCCCAGAGGCTTCAGAGTCAGGTTTCTATATTTATTTGGAAAGCAAAGAACTTTTTCAGTGAATGACGGTTTACAGGACCTGTGTAAACAAAAACACACTTCTGGAAGACAATCAAATTTCACAGCTAACAGTAATTTGTGGCATGGGTGAATACTGGAAAGTGTGTGATGGGAGGCGGGACAAAAATCTCAGCACTTGATTGGTAGATATCTTGCAACAGCAGAAACTGGTCTTTCTGCACACAGATTCTAAAGCAACATTCACAGAGTCTCCTCACAGACCTGAAAGGACCGGAAATTGGCCCGTGTAGGAGATGGAACGCAAGGGACATTCTCCTTCATGGAAAGCCTGTCGTGTTACTGTGTGACAAGACCAGCCTTGAAACAGCCCTGTTGGTCCCTAGGAGCAGCCACTGAGCACGGAAGCAAGCAGGCAGACAGAAAAGTAGGCTGGCAAATGAGACTGCATGGCTGCGTGCCCTTCTTTCATGGCGTGGACAGTGTGATGGCAGTCTGGTCCGCTAGTACCCACACATGCAGTTAAATCTGCCTTAAGCTTACTTCTCTGATCTCAAACTGGAGGAGCTGACGTTTAACAATTCATACTTCTCACAAGACAGCCACATGAGCTGACACACACACACTTGCACACCACATGCACATTCTTGGACAGACTCATTCTACAATAAAGAATCACACCATTTGTTTCATTTTAATAACCCCACCCACAGCGACACCCCCCTCACCATGCCCCCTTGTGGCCTCTCCACCTGATTCCCCATGCTTTGTCATGCAAATTAAAGGCCCATGCTTAGCGCATGCTCAGCCTGGTTCTCAGCCATGCCCATACACTCCTCGTGTCACTTCCCCCATCCACAGCAAGCAGTCGGCTTAATCAACCGGTGGTGTTGTGTAACAGGAGGGAGGGAGATGAGAGAGGAGGAGGAGAAGCGACAAGAGCGAGCACTTGGGGGGTGGGGGGGCAGTGGCAATAAACACTGTAAATGGACGATCTTTGTGATTGCAACAGGAATAACTGAAAAGCTCTGGTAGGTAGAAGGCCAGAATCAGGTGCCCTAAGGTAAATTGGTGGTATGAGATCAAGAGTTAGATGATTGGAGTGGAAGATGATCTGAGATTGAGAGACAGATACTCTAAGACTGAGTGTTAAATAGTTTGAGATTAAGAACTAGATGTTCAGTGATACATGGTCTGACTCAGAGCTAGATGTTCACAGTTGTACACGGTCTGAGATTGAGAGCTAGATTTTCACAGTCCTACATGCTGTGAGCTACACGATTACAATGGTAGACATAAATTGTTAGAGACAGATGGTCTGAGACAGAGGTATATGGTCAGAATGGCAGATGGTAAGAAACAGATGGTCTAACATAAATGGTATGAGAGAGGTAGATGGGCAGAATGGTAGAGGATCTAAGATTGAGACAGATGGTGTGAGATTGATAGTCTAAGATTGAGAGGTAGATGGTCAAACTGGTAGATCACCTGAAAGGTATACTGCCAAAGTTAGATTGAGACAGACAGGCAGTCAGAGTGGTAGGGGACCTGAGAAGTATTTTGCCAGAGGCAGACTGGGACAGACAGGTAGATGGTCTGGGTGGTAGACGGTCTGAGAGAGTTACATGGTGAGACTTAGGTCAGACTGTTACATGGCGTGAGACTTAGTGATAGATTGTATGAGACTGATGGTCTAAGATTAAGATAGATGGTCAAAGTGGTAAATGAACAAGAAGGTATCCTTTCAGATTAGGACAGACAAGTTATATAGTCAGAGTGGTAGATGACCTGACATTGAGAATAAGCAGGTCTGAGATTGAGAGGTGGATGGTCAGAGTGGTGCATGGCTTGGCAGGAATACTGCCAGAGGCAGATTGGGACAGACGGGTAGATGTATAGAGTGGTTGATGAGATTGGGAGGTAGATGTACAACATGAACCACACACTTAACTTCTTGTGTCACACAGTTTGAGCTACGTAAGGCACACAGTGACCATACAGCGCTGGCTACTGGTGCCTGTCTGGGGTGAGTTTCCCGCAAGAGCTTGACACCCCATCTACTGATGGCCCCAGTCAGAATGTATCTTGCTGGACAACAGGTTGCGTGTTTCCAGACAAGTATTCAAAGGAAACTCCCCATCCTCCCCCAGAAGGTGAAAAAATGCAACCGCAACACAGGCAGACATGCGGAATGAAGACAAAATGGACCGGTGACCAGATGATGAGCTATGTTGCACAACAACAAGCTTGTTGTGCCGAAAACGAACGCTTACAGTCAGAGCTAAATATGCATCACAAAAAATTGGTGGTGGGTGACGATCTGACTGCATACAATGGGATGGATACAGAGACAAAGGTGGGATTCTGCTCCACTCCGCACTGCGGGCGGGTTTACCTGGGCTGGCCAGCGCTCCGAGGGCGCCCCCGCTGGAGGACAGGGGGTTTGCACTGGAGGGGCTGGCGGAGCTCTGGGCCGCCGCCGCGGCTGCAGCTAAGGCCGCCAGGTTCTGCAACTGCAGAGCACTGATACCTAAAGAGAGGAGCCAGAGAGGGAGGGTTCATCAAATCGGACCTCGCTGTCTCCTGCCGCTGCCTGCCTCGCCTGCGGCCTGGGTTGGGGAGTGGAAGGGTCCCCAGTCTTTGCTCAGCAGATCCAAAGAAAGTCTGACAGCTACGGGGAGGAGGCCTGGAGAGATTGCCAGGGCAATGGCGATCAGGGCTGCAAACAACCCACTAGGTGTACTTTAAATAAAAGTAATATTCACCTGCGGAGCCTAAGGTTATGTGTCGGTGTATGTCAGCAGCGTTCACATATGGAAGGCCTTGACAGTGTCACCACATTATGGGAATTTCTTTCAGTTTCTGAAGCCACCACTTCGTGTGCCGTGCTACATGTCAGGGTTCACTCCCTCAAGATAGCTCTGCACACCCGGAGTGGAGCGTTCGCCGCCCCCGTCTAGCCCATGGAGCATCCATCGGTGGGTGGGATCAATTTAGGCAAATAGCCTATTACTGCACGGATTGGTAGCCCAGGTATTCCGAACGGCGGGCCTGTGGGAGGGGCAAACGTTATCGTGCCTGTATTTTAAAGGGTTGGCTGACCAACTGCATGGCGGCCATGCCGAATAGTCATAAAAAGTCAGCAGGGGGCGTGCTCATACAATCAGATGAGAAGAGCTTAATCGAAACACAACTCCTGTATATATCACCACCATGTATATACCATGTATATATACTTCTTATATATACATATACACACAGAAAAAAAACACAAACACACGAACAGCAGACAGGAAACAAAGACTCACAGAACACTGCCGCACTCTGACGGTGATGCACAGCCGAAACTGGCTGCAGCATCACGCCACACGGCATCATTCCAGGGCTCCGTTACCCAGTCGGGGGGGGGTTAGTGAAAGACAGCGCTTTTCAGGGCTGGCAGCAGGACAGGGTATTTTCACGGACACTTACAGAGGAAATCTCAAAGTGACAGGAAAAGGATTCCAAGGGAGGGCACAAGTGATACTCAGTGCCGCCAAAAGCAGGGGGGAAAAATCATGGCACTGCTACCATAGGTTAACTGGGCTTTTAACAACAGTTGACCTAGAAGGACCGGTTTTGGGAATACAATCAAGGGGTGATTTGCAATAACTAGAATGCAAAGATTGTACTTGTGGTACTGACAAGTCCGGTCTTTTTGCCTCCCAAGAACAAACTTGGGGTGCAGTGAATCATGGGATTGGTGTCTGACAAGGATGCATTCTTGATATTTTGGCAAAACAAGAACGGCATCTGGGGATTTTTAACATCCTCGTGTACTTGTGTTCTTAGTATTGGAACTGGTCTTCGGCACTGGAAGATGATATAAAACGGGTACACGCGAACACAAGTATGGTCAAGTACGCATATTGAGAAACACCATAAAAAGGCCCAGCAGAACCTCGCAGGGAAGTCAGAGGGTTGCCCGGATTAGGCAGGCTGGCAAAGGTCAACCTGGGCAGAGCAGACCAGGAGACCGCCTCACCACCTTGAGAGGCATGGCTGAATGTAGGGCAGGAATGTGTAACCGTGTTTTTGAAAGAACCTGTTCTTTTTTTGGAACTAGCAGACATTTTAACCAACTTTCTCATTAACTAACCAGGTCTTTCTCATTAAATGGGTGCCTGGGGGGTGTTATTGGTCAGGCAACGGAGTTAAGTAAGGACTGTGTTTTCATTACTGTGTGTCATATACGCCCTACATTTATTTGTAACTGCAGACCACACTAAGACTGGGACATACTGGTCACCAAGATGAAAGACACACACATCTACAAGAGCCTCATTCATATTATGGGCACCTTGTTTAAAAGGTGCTCGAAGCAGTGCACGGTAACATGATCGTGGACAGACTTTGTTTCATGGTATCTCTGCCACTTATTATTGTGATAGTTTCACATGGGCGAGATTTATGGGTGGGGGGGGGGCACCACTAGTCTTCTTTAATTGAGCTCTTCGTGGCCCAAAGATGTGTCTGCAGAAGGACCGGGAGCAGATGCCCTTGGTTGGATCCACTGCTGATTGGCGCCGGTTGCTGGGTGACAGATGCCTGCGCTTGGATCTCCTGCCAATCAGAGCCAGTTGCTGAGCGACAGATGGAGAGCTACGGGACTTGAGCTCTCTCACCTAGGCTGAGTTGCCCATCCATCCCTAAACTGAAGAGTGGTCATTGCCTATCCCATAATCCCCCAGTCAGCACAAAGGGGCAACCACCAGATTATTGACAACTCAGAGCTCTGCTTGGCAAGTATTATTCGGTATGGCATTAAAAAGGCATGGGAGGTGGGGCATCTGGGGGGGAGGGGTCCCTAATTGATACAGACAGCTGGGGAGGGCCCCACATAGAATGTAAAGCTAAATTATGAAATACACCTTGAAACCACATCTTGAGCCATGGCATTAAGCCCTTCTGCACAATCGCAAGCCTGTCATAGCTAACTATTACAAGATGGTGTTGTCCTCTGTATCCCAGGTTAAACAATCATTCAGGGAGAGAGTGTGGACTTCCTCATCAGTCATATTCTCGGCGAGTGAGCAAATGAGAGAGACCGGGCAGCTCTCCAAGCAGGACGAGAACCCCTAGGCACTCCTGAACAGCCCCATTCCAGGGTAAGTTAGCTGAAAAAGGTCCCAGTCTTGATGACGAGTGACAAAGCAAGCCAACCAAGCAGGCTAAAGGGGGCCCGTACTTACAGCTTCATTTTAAATCAATAACAAAACCCGATACAATCTCACGCTGACAAGTCAGATGGTGGAAAAAAAAAAAACTAAATAAGAAAGATAAAGCTTTTTTACTCACAGTGTTCTGCAACTATTTTTTCTCCCTCTATCCTCCGTGCTGGCAATTTGTCCAGACGGACTTCTATAAATGTTCCTCTCCCACACTCTGACCGGCAGCTAAACAACCAACAATTAGGAGCAGAGAGGGCAGGCCAGGCACCAGCATAGGCTGAGGAAAAGTAGCGGCGAGCAGCTGTGGATACGGCCTCCCCTAACCAACTAAACAAGCCACTGATCTTCATATGCACTCTATCCCCTTTCTTTAGCAGAGACTCCTCATAAACCGACATGTATCCATCCCAGTCAGACTTCACACACACACACACACACACACACACACTCATAACTGTGCCTGCAAGTTGCATCTCATATCAGCTCTCCTGCTGAAACCCCCCACCCCTACCCCTCCCATAACAAGCTGCAGGGGGACAGTAATAGTGAATACTGAATAATACTGAAATACTGAATAATGGGTTGAATTTCATAAAGTAATTTTTCTCTTAGAGGAATGAGCAGGAAGGAAAAGAGCATAAAAAAACAGCAAAAGGCTTAGAGGACGGAAGCGAATCAGTGTCATCCCCTCAAACTGTTAACTCCGCCCCCTCCACACAGACCACTGCTGAATGGCTGGAGGCAGTCAGCTGACCTTTGCTGTGTCAGGATGAGGAACAGGTGTGTACTAAAGAGCCTCTGACTTCTCCGTATGTCATATATCACTTTGGTGGAGAGCATGCTCAGCAGAAAGCTGCATTTCTACATTTCGTTATAATAATCCCATTTTCCCTACCGACGGAAATGGCTTTGTGGCCCATTTGACTGTGATAACAGTCCTTACACATGATCTAGAAAAATCTGAACTTACCTTTAATGTCAAGCAAATGAAATGCATATTACCCATATCAGAAGGTATCTTCCTCATGACAAAATGCACCCCGCAATGAATACCATAGCAGTACTGTAGGATATGTGAGGAATGGGTCCTGCAATCAGGGCTGAACAGCGTGCGCAGAAGCACTGCTGCTGACTCCACACCTCTTCTCGGTCACATATTTTTAATCATTCCTTCATCAAGATGTGCAAATCTCTGAGCCCCCAGCAGAATGATGATGCAGGAATACCCAATAAAAAGCAGAACAAGGGCTGGTAGTGTCTAAGTGGAATGGAGGGTCGTGTGTCCGTGGGTCACTAGAGGAAGGTGGGGGCCGTGCGTCTGTGGGTCACTAGGGGAAGGGAGAGCCGTGCGTCTGTGGGTCACTAGGGGAAGGGAGAGCCGTGCGTCTGTGGGTCACTAGGGGAAGGTGGGGGCCGTGCGTCTGTCGGTCACTAGGGGAAGGGAGAGCCGTGCATCTGTCGGTCACTAGAGGAAGGTGGGGGCCGTGCGTCTGTGGGTCACTAGGGGAAGGGAGAGCTGTGGGTCACTAGGGGAGGGGAGAGCCGTGCGTCTGTGGATCACTGTGCGTCTGTGAGCAGTAGATATCTAACTCACCTGCCATCTGCTGAATGCCGCTGAAGGCTCCCAGGTTACTGGAGGAAGCAGCTTGCTGGAGCAACTTGGGAGAGAGAGAAAGAAGGACAGAAGAAGGAAGAGACAGGGCAGAGTCAAGCATCCATATTTGCTTCAGTGTATAAGCACTTGCTCAATATACATATACTCATATCACACACTAAAGTCACTCACTGGTAAGTGCCCGTGCAGTTACCTGCAGGCTGCATGAGCCCTGCAGTAAAGCATGTGCTGTACTTAAAGGGACAGAGTGCCATTTCAGCTCCCACTACGGATGGCAGACTCTGACCACTTAAATGTCATCTGTTTTACAAATACTTTCCTCTTGCCTGTCGGGAGTTTTTGTTTCAGTCGGACGTGTCTCCAGACAGTGGGGTTTAAACTGGTGTGGCAGTCTCGTCGGGTGATAAAAGTATTACACTGTCAGCCCTTTAAGCTGAGAGGCCTCATGGAGCCACCAGTGGGGCACTGACACCTGGCGCATAATAAATGGCAGTAATATATCGAGAAGACGGACTTCTGGACACGTCTGGGAGCCTCCCCATGGTATGAGGCCAAAGACGAGAGGGATTTGGAGTATTGGAAAGGCTGTGGTGCCCACATTGGGGGGCTGCAGTGCAGGATGGGCAACGTGGAGGCGGAGCCTCTTACTGCCAGATACTGCGGGGTCAGGCCGCCCAGGCCTGTCAGGTTCCCCCAGGTGGTGGCACTGTTGAGCTGCTGCATCTGCTGGGCCAGCTGCTGCTGCAGACGGCGCTGTTCCTTGTCCTTCTGTGTATCGGCAAACTTCACCACAATAGGTGAGGAGCATCCCTGTTGGGGAGCAATGGTGGTGTGGGGGGGCGGGGACAACAGAGGAAAGGAGAGGGTCAGTCGGCACCACGGACCGCCACAACACCAGGGACAACGCAATTTCTTCTCATCTCACACACGCACGCTCTCACGTGGATAGGCACGCGCACAAACACCCCCATGTCTAGGGGCCTAGAGAGGCGACCACACCCCTTCTGATACAGGCATGCTGATTCCTTCTCGAGCGCATCTCTGCTGCGGGGGCCACAATTTCAGAAGGGAGTTGTTTCCACAATTATCACACTATTTCATCATCTCAGCATGAAAAAAAAAAAGGATAGAAATAAAACGATGGAAGGCCTTTGTTAAGCAAGCTTCAAAGGGTCCCCACGCCACCGCCCCCCAAACACAGTCACGGCCCCCTCCATATGCCACAGCAGGACAGAGGGGAGGCCCAACAAGGAGGCTGATAGTGGAGGGGCAGACTTGGATAACGGTAATTCTATCACATCATACCGAGCCCCGTCAAACCACCAGCAGCCCATTCTGGCAGAGGCACTGCTAGGGCTCCACATGGACGTGAAAGCAGGGTGTGGAATGAGTCACAGCAGGATCCTGGGGATCAGGCGTGCAAAGTCAGACCCGCTTTCTAATGCAGCGGCACGTTCTGCTCTGGGATCCCTAGATGCCTCAAGCCAGCTTCCCACAAAAATTTCCCTGCAGTTGCACTGGTTGCTAACAATTACCATGTCTGGTTAATATGCACAGGAAGCATTATCTTATCACCAGGGTGGGGGGCAATGCGAGCAATCACTGCTGGCACATGGATAGTCCCTCATTCCTGTTGCTCTTTAACCTCAGTTAAGCATCATCCAGGAGGACGGGCGAGTCATAGCCACTAACAGGGAAGTCTACGGGGTCACACATAAATCTAAGCCATTGATGAGGGAGCCTGCAGTCACACAAGAGTCAAAGACAGTGACAAGAGAGCCAATATGGTCACACCAGAGTCAAAGCCACTGACAAGAGGGCCAATAAGGTCACACACGAGTCAAAGCTACAGACAAGAGTGCCAAAGGGGTCACACATATGAGTCACAGTCAATGACAAGAGGGCCAAAAGGGTCACACATAAGTCAAAGCCACTGACCAGAGAGCCAATAGGGTCACACACGAGTCAAAACCACTGACAGAAGTGCAAAAAGGGCCACACATATGAGTCACAGCCACTGACAAGAGAGCCAAAAGGGTCACACAAAGCCACTGGGAGAGGAGCCTACAGAAAGACCAAAGCAATATAACATGAAACTATATACATAAATACACAGTTAGTACAGACATTTTACACATTATTAATATTACATCATTTGTCATGGCAACAGCAACTGTCACTGGGGTATCCCTTTACTGGGGGGCTAGCTTTGGCTCAGTTGTGGCTCTACTACAACTCCTCTTCCATGGTAACCTGTGTAAACACAGACACCCTCCTCGTGTGCGGCACCGATAGGCCAAAACGACCCCCATCAGGAGTCACATACTTCCACGTACAGGCACCTCCAGGATGCCAGGCACCTTTCTGAGTGCACCTTCCTCTTAGCTCAGAAAAATTAAAAGTAAAGAAAGTAAACTCAGGTGGCTGTGACAATCAGCAGGCCTCTCCTCCAGCCGCCCCCCCATGGAGTGTGGCTCTCACCCCGCTAAATATCCCATTACTCTGCCTGTCATTCCTACAGACTGATAGGACTCGGCATGATGCCGGGGGCGGGGAGGCCGCGCCAGACAGACTGGGCTGGCATTATGTGGGGGGGGGGTTACCAGCAGCACTGGGAGGCCACAGTGTGAAACACCACACAAGACTGCACCATTAAATGAGTTTACCTCATTCTGAGATGCATTTACTAGGTTACCAGGAAGTAAGGTGGTGAGGAAGCAAGCATTAATACACAGTGGTATGTAGAATACAAGTATATAGAAAGTATTTGCAACCATATATGGTAAACGTAGTGTTTATAATATATGCACACTGCACAAGGATGCTATGCTGCAGTGGTGGTCATGTGAGTGCTAAGGCTCTGGAAGCCGCAGCGGATGGGATTAGCGAGTGCTGTCAGTGGCTTAACCAGCATCCTGTCGGTTACTTTGGCGGCATGCATCTGGTTAATTTGGAGGGTGGAAGGCGGCCCGATTGCGGCTCTCAGTTTCTGATACCCCTGTGCATTTGGAGCACGGCTGTCTTCCGGGTCACTTTACAGAACCGCGTTGGCAGAAGAGGCATTATGGGAAATGTATGCAAGTGCACATCTTTAATTTGTCATCTTTTTCAATGTCTGTACTCTTCCCAGTCTGAATATTGGGTCAGCTGGTTGGAGGCAATAGAGGTGATTGACAATGATGCATCGGCGCCCCCTGGCTGTAAGACACTTCAGCTACACCATATTGACAGCTCAGGTCTCTCCAGCTGCATGGAAAAATGTTCACTGTCTGATTTCCCTTCGCTTCCGCGTTTGCTGTTCTGCAATTCTGTTTCACAGGTGAACGCCTGAACACCCCTCCCATATGTGCGGCACAGACAGTCACCCACCCACCCATACCACCCTCCCCCGGTGCAGATTGCACTCTACAGGAGAGCTACCTCTAATTACAGAAACGATGCCTTCTATTCCGTTAGCTGAAAATCCCGGCTGCCTGACGCATCCAGAGGAGTCTTTTGGGGGGAAGGAGGGGGGGGTACTGCTTGCACCATGCCCCCAGGGCACACAAAGCTTCCCTAGCAAATCCGAGCCAGTTCAGCCCCCAGTCTTACAAACCTTAATCACTGACGACACAGATCGGATACAGACCAGTGTACTCCATGCCTTTTCCTCAGAATGAGGAGGGTCGCATGGTCCTTTAACGGTACCGTTTAATGACTTGACGCTCAAGCTCATCCCCAGGTGAAAAACATGGCTGAGATGCGGCCGGGAAGCCGACTCCGATCCCCCGCTCCCGGCGACGCCGAAAAGCTAAAAAGGCTGACAGGCTTATCTGATCCGATCTGAATCCAGACAGACCGCGTCTATCACCACGCGAGAAAGGCAGCCTTCCCAGGAAGCCGGGGGAGGTGGCGGCGGTGAGGGGGGTGGGGGTAGCGGCAGCGGCAGCTGATAGGATTTTATTCCTGTCTGCTGAAAATTAGAGCTGAAATTGTGTGTCAAAATGTTGCCCCTCCTTAATTATGGTTGACAGGCGGCCTGTCTCACATCAGGTCTGACTGCGCAGGACTCGAGAAGATGGCTGTGAATGAAATACAACAAATCAGACTGTTTAGACAAATGAGCTGAAAAAGGAGGAGCAGAGGCAAGCTGACCCAGTCTGGTCCTAAATTTCAGCAGAATAAATCTGCCATCTGATCACAGAAAATCTCCTACTGGCCACTGACTCACTGTCCCTCATCTTGCTCACAGCCCCCCACATGTTTGCACATGCCCCCCCCCCCCATTGTGCATGTAAAGTTCCTGTTTTGATTGTATCCACAACCTCCTTCCCATATCATACGCACAGTCCCCCATCCTCCCAAATATCCCCACATCATGTTCACCCCCCCGCTTCCAGTCCCTACTCACCCCCACCCACCTCGCTCCCAGTCCCACTGTCCTCAGTTGCACTCATTAACTTCCAACACTGCAGTGTTTGAGGCACCCGCCCCCCACCCCGGATACGAACCTGCCCTCCGGCATTCTGAATAGCCACCGAGACAACGGGTGTGATGGAAAAACTAACTGACAATAACCCCATACAACTCCGAGATGTCCATTTTTCACGCAGTAATTACATTTTAAATTGCCAAACGGGACTGTAAACAATGCGACAGATATGACCATTGTCTTGCCCTAAGCAACAGTCTTCACACTCTACATGGGGGGAAAATGGGTTATATTGTCTTGTGCAATATTCCTCTGTAAACGCTGTTCGAGAACAGGAATAAATGAAATGCTTGATCTCATGACAGGGAGACGTTTATTATTTATGTCAGACACATAGTGTGCAGGGCTTGTAATCTCCTTTCCAAAAATGGCTCTGGAATTAAAAAAAAAAAAAAATGTCCCCATCTCCTTTCGTTCACATGCCAGATGCATGCAGACACACTTGCACGCACACATGTGCACATCCAGTGTGTCACCATCAAGCACTGTACACACACACACACACACACACACACACACACGCACGCACGCATGCACACACCAGTTCACCAAGACCCCGTGCTGCACTCCCCCAGGCCTTGGGACCGGTCACGGTTATGGGGCCCAAATGCATCTCTCTGACAGGGGTCTGGCCTAATTTAACAATGGGTGTAATAACCGGGAGTCCCAGCTGTTTGTGGACAGGCTCTAATAACCATGCAAACCAGGTTTGTTTTGATATTGGCTGAAGGAATTGAGATTGAGATGGAGGGAGCGAGAGAGAAAGAGAGAGGGAGGGAGAGAGAGAGGAGGAGCGCAACTGTACTTGCGTTTGATATCTCAGCACTGACTGCTGTATGGGTAAATGTATTTGGAGTTACTTTTTGAGTCTGAATGGCCATGGTTATGACATTTTCCCCACCAATTCCAGCACATAGAGCAGCAGAGAAGAAATGGAGAGGGTGAGATAGAGAGAAAGAGAGAGAGAGAGAGAGGGCCGAGGGTACAGTACCTCCATAGTCTGTGACTGATGCATGGCTTTGATTGCATTCTGTGCCATAGCCCTGGTAGAAAACGTGACAAACGCACAGCCTGTAGGGGGGACAACAGGAGAGGAGCGGGAGGACGAGAGAAAACAGAACAAGACAAGAGGGTTGGACAAGTCGTTGTTAAATACCCCGAAACGAGAGAATCCACGGAGAACAGCCCATAAGAGGACGACACTGTTCACAGGAGGCGGCACAGGGAAAAAACAACAACAACAAACAACAACAACAACTCAAGTCAACGAGTCCCTCTCCAGTCTGTATTTGTTAATCCAGCAGAGCATCAGTGAGCATGTGCAGTGCAGACCCCTGCTTACCCGAGTAGTGAGCATTACAGGGTTGAGTACTGCTCCCAGGGTCAGCTATGTTGACAGAGTGCAGACCATTCAGGTTTGTGGAGGAGTGTGAGCACCCCCTACAGGCATGACAGGGGACTGCCTGCTGCATGCCCTAAAATTCAGGCCTGGGCCAATGGGAACGGATTCCTCCAAATTTAAAATATGATGGGAAAGGAACAATTTTTCATTTCTTAAAACATGGCAGGGAGCAAATATGACATCCCCACTTATCGATGGGCCTGTGACCACCCGGCTAGGGGACGATCGATAAGTCGAGCAATGTGTCTGGAGAGGCATTTTAACACGCCAGGCTGGTCAGAGGAAAGGATGCCTCTCTAGAGGTGTTACAGGCAAGTGGAGGACAGAGCCCCGGTCAGTACGAGGGGGACAAGGCGGGGAGGGAGGGAAGGGAAGGGAGGACAGAGAGACGGGAGGCACAGAGAGTGGGGCGGGGTTTAGGAAGGAGGGAAGGTGCAACAAAGAGAGCAACATAGGAAAGGGGAGACAGGGAGGAAGGAAGGAGAGAGAGAAAAAGGAAGGGAAGGTAAAATGGAAGGGGAGACACGGAGAGCTGGGGGGGGGGGGTCCAGGAGGGAAGGAAAGAGATAAAGTGTGAGGGGAAGAGGAGGAGAGAAAGAGTGGGAAGATGAAAGAGTGATACAGAGAGGAAAAAGGGGGGCAGAAGAACAAAACAGAAAGGGTGAAAGAAGGACAGAGAGGAAGAGAGAAGGGGGAGGACGAGAGAGAGGGAGGTTGACATGAAGAGAGACAAGGGAAGAGAGGAAGAAATGGGGATGGGGGAGTGTGACGGGGCGAGAGGCGACGGAAGAGTGAGTGATGGAGAGATAGAGCGAGGGGATGGTGGGGCTTTTTGTCCCATTCCCCAGCGGCAGGTTGAGGGATGAGTCTATGTCCAGCCTCCAGCCTGCCTCCGGGCTGAACTGCACATGCCAGCCAGTGAGGGACCCCAAAAAGGTCACCCAACAAGATGAACATACAGCTGAAACATCTGTACAACAGTAGCGCAGCTGGGTAGGTGTGCCAAATATAATGCCAGACAAGTGAGGGTTCAATAATTTCAATAATACCATTGACAAAATGGCCACCATGTGGCCCATGTGCCTGACCCACCCAGGGCTGATTCTCCTTTTTTAACTGCTGATTTTTTAGCAGCCAGCTGAATTGCAGTACAGCAGACGGCTTCCTTCAAGCCATATTTCTCTGCTGCCTCTGCTCTGCAGCCATTTGAAGGAGTTGGGGGCGGGGTGCGACCGAGATACGGTGAGGGCACCCGGAGAACCGCCCCATGCAGAAAGTAGGGTAGGTCCTGGAGTCCCCCGCGGACCGGCCCACATTGTATTTATAGCCCTGATTGATACGGCCGTGCAGCGGCGCGGTGACGAGACCATGGGGCATCGGCAGCAAGCCGCCCGGCCCATGTCAAGGACTGCGAAGCCTATTTATCAACGTCTGGAGGCTCCCCGTACTCTGAAAATGGAATTTTCTCCCTGTGTGACATCCTTAAATAGATCCCCCCCCTACCCAGCCCCCTGCCGTCGCCTCCCTCTGGGGCCACAGCTGACTAAAGGCATTGGAGGCAACGCTGAAATATTCATGAGGACAAAACAGCGAGCTGCAAGAGGGTGGGGCAGCAGGCAGGGATTCTGGGAAGGTGGAGAATGCAGGGAGGGGGGTGTGCTGGGGGAGGAGGGAAGACAACACAAAGAAGCACGCTCAAGCGGACACGTGCCATCAAAATGGAACCGACTCCGGTCATAACCCAGGACATAATCCTCTATAAATCTCTAAGCTTTAAGGTGAGAGCTCTGCAGGGACAGGGTGCTCTGGGGTCTGTCTGAATGAGTGCAGTCACTCCCAGAGAGGAAGGCTCAGGCTGGTAACTCAGAGGGGTTAAGAGGGGGGACAGCGATGGACAACAAGAATAACAAAAGATGGAAAAAAAGAAACCGGCAACGACATTAACAGCGATGGCAGCAGAGTCCGACGACAGGAACCAAGGCGTCAGCTTCACGCCGAGACAGACGAGGGGAGTCTGACAACTTTGTACTTCTGGCGTCTGAGAAGAGCTTTAAAAATAGCGGTGACCCCCCGCAGGGGGCTGACAGACACCATTAGGGGTACTTTTCTCCTTCCTTTTTTCACAGCCCCGCTTATGTGGTTCCTGCGGGGTGGGGGAGTTACAGGGATGCAGTACGCCAATGGGAATCATGGCTGGTTTTATACAGAAACCAGCGTGTGGTAGAAAGTGAGAGAGAGAAAGATAGAGGGACAGATTGTGTGTGTGTGTAACGTGTAGAGCGGCAGGCTGCGTTAGGGCCGGGTTAGTGACTGGCCTCAAGGCCACATCCTTAAAGCCTAGTTTGGGCTTGTGATGTCATTGGGACAGGAAAGCTCTACATAGAAGGTCCACTCGCCCCCTCACTCCCCACCAATCAATGGCAGTGAGACACTCCTGGCGTGTAAGGACTCTGCCTCGGATAGGAGAGGTGGGGTATGTGGGTGGAGCCAGAAAGGCAGGAGAGGCGGGGCCATGGATGGGGGTGGGGCACATGGCAGCCAACCGATGCGCTCTTACCTCTGCTGAGCCCGTCGGGCCCACGCAGGATCCGGCACTCCTCAATCTGGCCGAAGGCGGAGAACATCACCCTGATGTCATTCTCGTTGCACTTCTTGGACACCATTCCTATGAAGAGCTTCCTGTCTTCCACCGCTGGGGGGGATGAAAGAAGCCATGATAAAGGAGGGGAGATAAAGAGGGTGTGAGCCGGTGCCTGTGATCGGCTGCTCATTACCACATCAAACCAGCTGTTTCCTGCCCCCCCCCCACCCCACTCATCCTCCTTCCCCCCAGACCCCCTCCCTATTCCGTCCACCTCCCCTTTGTTTTATGGCCTCCTCTTCCACAAACAAGCCGGCCTACTGTATGTGGCCCCTTGGGGCTATTATAAGACCATGGGTGCCATAGTGCCCCCCTGTGGTGGGAGAAAGTACAGTTGGTTTGTTATGGCATTTGTTTTTGGCCCCTGTGCAAATCTGTACATGCAAATTCCCACATACTTGTATGTGTGTGACTGCATGTGTGTGTGCGCACTGCTACACGCATCGCCATCTCTGTGATTCCATGTGTGGGCCCTCCAACACATTCTGTGCGATGTTAATCCAATTCATTTTTAATGAGCAGCCTGTCAGCTTCTTACCAGGAGGCCAGCAAGATAAGCAGCCTGGTGCACTCTGGGAAATCAATATCACACTTATTTTGCTGTTGGATCCCGTTTTGTGCGTTTTAAGCAAAACTATCAGGATGCTCAGAAGATAAAATATTGTTTCATATTATTTCAAAGCCTTTATCCATTTGTACATATAGTCTAACTCCCTTGAGAAAAATTTGAGAATTTTTGGCACATAATTAATTTGCTGGGGGGGGATAGGGCAAGATGCCAAATAGAGGAAACACCCGCTTCTGAATTTCTGACACGACCGCCGGCCTAGTGACTCATAAGAGCCTGTGAACAATTAAATTATATAATCAATCAAGCTGTCACTGCGAATTTGGCAGATCCATTTGGGCTCTGGTGTCACGTCCAACATGTCCTTGTATGGGTCTGACCCCATTGCTCCCTGGGACGGGGAATATTCTCCCTTTTGTCATGGGGTCAAGGTTGTCCGTATCACTGGTATCAAAGCTAAAGATAAATATCACCCAAATCAAAGAAGTGCTTCATTAGAGGTGCCTTGCTCTACTGAGTAAACACTGCTTCAGATCCAGGACACATGGAAAGCAGAGTCCTGAATTCACCGCCGGCCCACCCAGGCCGTACCCAGATACAGGACACACTGACGGCAGAAATGACAGCTCGACACTTCTCTGCTCTCCTTCAGTAACTGCGAGCGGTATTGTTCTTACTGCCATAGCAGTCTCGCTTTATTTCCCGATGTGGACTAGCCCACCTGTAATGGACCCGCTGGCTGCAATTGCCAGTCAATGAGAGAAAAGGCGGAGCATAATGCATGGATAGGGTGGAGCCAAGTTTGGGGGAGGGTGTGGCAATATGGACAAGGGGCGGGGTCAGTATAGAGAAAGGGTGGGGTCATTGAAGACAGAGAGGGTCATTACTGAACCTCCTCAATCCAATGCCTCACCCCAAATCCCACTCTCATCAGACCGCTAACACACACAGCACAACCGGCCATGATCCCTCACCGCCCCCACCAGCCCCCCAGACTCTCACCGTTAGACTTCTCACTGTCTGCTGGCTTCATCTGTATGGGATGATGCATCTGGAGGGGGAACAGAAAAGGATTTCACCTACAGATAATCCACCACACAGACAGACACACACAGACTCATACGACACATTCAGTTCTATGGGCAAAATCCTAATCTCAACAATGACAACCTTTACCCCTACCCAGCCCTAACCATAAGGAACCTAACAAAACACAAGACTTTTGGCATTTTTAGGTTATTGATTGCAGATTTATCGCTTTAAGGGGACATCTATACATAACACACACACACACACACACACACACACATCCCACAGAAACCTGGAACCATGTGGAACCATACTCAGGTAAGTCCATTTTTTCAACATCCATTCATCTGATTTCATACAGCCATTTTCTCTCTCTGTGGCAGAGCTAAAGGTAAGCATGACACTTAATCAGGGATGTAAGATACACACAGCTTTTTCCAACACCTCCACTCTCCCCCTGCCCCTACAGAGAAGTTTACTTTTAATAAACCGCACAATTTAAAAAGCTCAGGATTTTTCATCGCATGCTGTGGTGTAGCCATCACAGGGAGAGGTGGTACTGTAAGTCAAGGCTTCTTACGGCTCCTGAGTTTACCCAGTATCCCCGGGAGCACCGCTTTCGCATCGCAGGCTGCCCTGCAGTCAAGGGGCGTGAGCCTTTCATCTTCTCCTGAACACAAACTCCACACAGAAGCGGAGTTCCTACATCAGTCAGGCTTTCGGTTCCGCTTATCCTGTGGTTACTGTTACAAATGCCGTCACAACTGCATTCCAACGGAGGCCTGCTGAGCTGGGGCTATAGCAGAGACGGCAGGGCTATCCAAATAATATTTCTGACCCAATTAAACCCAAAACTGTTCCATCCCGGACAGTCTGCACTTGACACTCCCTACACAAATGTGGATCTCTTTGAAATCTGACTGGGCCAAAGGCAGGGGCATTGTGGACAAGGGGCTGGGCCACCATGCAGAACGAGCAGTGCCAAGGCACATGAAAGGGCGGAGTCAGTGTGGCAAAAGGGTGGAGCTAATAAAAGGCAAAGGATATGGCAGAAAAGTGGCGAGGCCAATGCATAAATCACCACCTTTTGCAGTCCTTGGAACTGTTGGGAAAGGTCTACTGAACGGTCACCTTCGCACCCAGGAGAGACTCCTGACCCAGATTACAGCCCCTGTGCCGCGCCCCTCCCTCTCAGCAAACCGCCATGTGCACCTGACAGCTCGACAGGACAAGCTTGGCTCGTGCCCGTACCGTGGGACAGTCCCGGTGACAGGTTTTCACACCCGGCCACAGCGCCCCTCCCCCCCTTGTTGCAGGTCATTAGAGTCCACCCGCACCGTAAAACACGCAGCTTGGCAGCTGTCCCTGCATCAACACACACGCCTATTCTAGTTTGTACTGTTTCACTACCCCTGCTGGCCTCAGCATACATGCTCTACACTGCCTCCTGCTGCTTTCCGGTATGTACTGTTTGACTACCCCGCTGGCATCATCATGCACGTCCTACACTGCCCCCTACTGATTTTCAGAATGTACTGCTGGACTGCCCCACTGGCATCATCATGCACGGCCTACACTGCCCCCTACTGATTTTCAGAATGTACTGCTGGACTGCCCCACTGGCATCATCATGCACGGCCTACACTGCCCCCTACTGATTTTCAGAATGTACTGCTGGACTGCCCCACTGGCATCATCATGCACGGCCTACACTGTTCCCTGCTGCTTTCCGGCATGTACTGTTGGATTACCCTGCCATTGACAGCACGCACTCCTCCCCAAGCTCTCAGCTGCTACTTTCGTGACGTTAAGGACGCATTACCTGCTCGTTCCTCCTCCACCCCACTGTGGGGTAGGGTCAGGCTGGCTTGCTGATGGGGTGACCCAGCAGGCTTATTCAGGTACCTTGTACTCGAGACAAGGACAATCCCTCTAACACGAGGTCAGTCGACGCAGAAATGCTGGTGTGGTGTGCGCTGGCCCGAGTGGCGTGAGTCGAGATTACGAACAGAGTATGCGACAGCCAGACAGATGGGCCACTCTGCGTGATCTCTCCCTGTCACCGGCACGTGGATACCAGGTGGGTGTCAAAACATGAAAGAGCACCAGCCATAAGTGTGGCTCGCTCCCCTACCATCCCGAGGCCTTTGATGTGCAGGTGAACCCCCCCCCACATTAAGTCCGCCTTCCCCACCCCTGTTCGGCAAGGAGATCACACTCCATCGCCACAACTACAACTCCGATTAATAGATTTTTGAGTGCAAAAATCAAATGAAGGGGGGTGCCTCCTGCTGGACTCAAATGGTAGCACACCACTTCAAATTAAAGGTGTTGTTCTATTTTAAAAATGAAGAAGGAAATTTTGGCATAACCGATCAGAGGGTCAGACGGTGTGTAAGGGCTGGCGTGGCCCCCTAAAGGACATGGGCTTTAGGACACTGTAGCCAGTGTGTGACATTGTATCCAGTGTGTGACACTGTAGCCAGTGTGCGACACTGTAGCCAGTGTGCGACACTGTAGCCAGTGTGCGACACTGTAGCCAGTGTGCGCATGAGACCCTTTTTGACCATATAATGTTTAGTCTGGATCTGACCCGCTGGTGTGTAACTGCTCAGTGATAATGTTTCCCCATCACTCTCCCCCTGCTCTTTCCCCCTCACCACCACCACACACACACCATATGTTTGAGGGCAGTGTGCATATGCACACAGGCCCCTATGTGATCCTCACACTTGCTAAATTCCCCCCAGACATGATTCTCTCTTTCATTCCTGAGCCTGCTTCCTCCCCCCATGAAAGACCCGGATCCTTTGTTTTCAGGCTCCTCCTGAAATGGGTTACCAGATCTGGTCAGCCATTTTCCATTAATTAACATGGGGGCTCTGGCCGTAGAGCCGGATCGTAGGTGGGTTGAGCGGCCGTCTTGAAAATCCGTTCTTAAAGTGTGTAGGGCCGCCTTTCTGAGACGCCCACTCGGTAATCGCTAACCCCCTCCCCCCTCAACGGACAAACTCCTGTAGAGGTTTATCAGACCGGCAGCTGTAAGGCAGGTGCCAGAGGGCATCAGCAGGGATTGCATCCTGACCCGGCCCAATCGGCCCGTGTCCTCGAGTCCGGGACAGGCAGGACAGCAGGTTGCTGACAATTACAGCTGGGAGGGCTGGCATAGATTGATACGTCTGGCAGCTGCTAATGAAACGTTAAATTTGCTGCAAAAAAGAGAGAGACAACTCTGTCTCATGCACGGCAGGTGGGAACACAGGTGGGCGGGTGTTTGCCCCCTCATCTCAGTCGCGGATGGGGGGATTCAGCTCCCCGTCTTTCATGGGTTTGTGCGCCCGTCATTGCGGCTGTCTGATGTCATGCCCATGACATTCCTCAGAACCAGCTGCCTGAACATCAGCACAGCTGGTCTGTGGTCCTGTCAGGAGACAGACGGCCGACACTGAGCTGTCCGCTGAGGAAGGTCCCGCACGGATACGAACACGCTGGTCTCACAGGCCTCACCTGCCCCCAGTGCAGAGGGAGACGAGGCAAATCATATGTACAAGACGGTGCCTGTGGAATCTGCATGGTAGCTTCTATGTGTCTGGGCTTTACTAAAACCAACAACACCCCATTCTGGGACTCAGCCTGCATCAGGCTCAGTGACCACCACAACCCTACATTAACCTTATACTGGATGGATGGATGGATGGATGGACGGATGGATGGATGAAATACAATATAGGGTTGTTCAGCTCTTTTCTGGGGCAGGCTGGAGGGTGGAGGTCTAATTCAAGGTGGGGGTTTAAACAAGTTAATGCAACAATGGATCAAGGTTCTTTTAGGAAAAGCAAGTTGAGCAAAGAAACAAACAAAAAATCTTAATTCAAAAGAGTGACAAGGAACCCATAGAATACTACAGAAGGGGACGAGCACATTCTGCTAAGTCCTGTCCTCTATATTCACCCATCTGACCCTATAAGACCCCCATCTAAGCAATTAGTCCAACTAGGGCCAGCTGGGCATCATTAATTAGGTTTTGCGATAACGGCAGAGATGCGGGCCCCCCCCGCCGGCTCACACCTGCTCCGAGTGCTACCTCATATCACAGGCTCACAGACTGCACATCGAACTTCTGTTAAGCTGCCGTGAAAAGGCTCAAGACCACAGATCTGCTCCTGTGAAGTCAGGACACAGCAGATGCTTTCTGGGCAGCCGTACCCAATCAGACTCTGAAAGGCATCCCCCCCAGACAAAGAGCCCGCCCCTTTGGGGGCGTGGCCAGAGTGTATTTAACCTGTAGAGAAAGATCCTTGAACGACACTCTCTGTCTCTCTCAGTGCAACGCACAAGGCCAGACCAGTGCTGCTTAGAAGACACATCACAACAGAGATATCAAGCGTGCTAAAAGCGGCGTTTACCTTGACTAAGGCAGCTAGCTGCCATACAAAATAGAAACTGAGAGAGGCGAGTACTTCAGATTGCAGTAGCTTGGGCTTGATGTAACACCACTAGCTTCTGTGGCTAATTCTGTAAGCGAAACACAGGCCAGAAGCATTCCTCCGGGAGAGCTTATAAAGCACCGGGGAGGCAGGGACCTATCCCGCAGCGTCTCCCAGGTTGAGTGGCTCCCCAAAAGGAGAACAGTGGAAAATAAGAAGCGAGAGGCTGTCTTGGGCATTGTGACAGAGAGCTAGGTGTAAGCAGGACACACTCATGTCCCCAGCACGACATTTCCTCAATCCCACCGCACAGTGACACCGGACAGCAATCTGAAAGTAGTGCCACTGGGAGAAAACCCAACGAGGACAGACCAGACGCTGTGATGAGAGTCTGAAATGGCATCACAGGTCAGTGGCCAGTTAGTAACGGACCCAGAAAACATGGCCACTAAAAGGAGGTTTAAATGAGCCATGAAGGAATGTTCTGCATACTGAATTACCCACAATGCTTTCTTTCCCCCTAACCAATGGGAGGCCTAAACCTGGGTAAGTCACCCCGAACACCCCTAACTCAGGTCAATGCAGTCAAAAAGAAATACTCACTCAGGTAAAGACAACACAGGACAAGCACTCATTTAGACAAACATTACCCCTGCGTAAAAACTGATAAATGCCATCTCTTTGTAAACACACAATTTCCAGACGAAACAGGCCCCAGACGAACATAAACACACACGCTATATCAAAGCCTCGGCCCCCCCACAGTGGGAATACTCACCCCAGATAGGGTCTTTATGTTGTGTAGAGCATTCTGTGCCTCCAGGGCAGCCTTCCGCGTGTAAAACGTTACAAAACAGCACCCTGCGAAGACAGAGAGGCGAGACGATCACAAATCACAGGCAGCAGTTTCCGAACGAACGAAACGAAAGCGTCCCGTGAAACGTTATCTCCAGGCTTCTGCGGGGCTGAGAGGAGAGGAGCAGAGAGGAGAAAAGGAGGTGGAGGAGGAAAGGGCGTTCTTGCTGCCAAGACATGAGTGTTTTCATTATGAGGCAGAAAACCTCGGGGGGGTGAGGGGTGGCAAGATGAGACAAAACAATGTCATTGGTACAAGGCCACTGTCATCGCCGTGGTAATGCTAACAGATATGAAGGCTGCCGTCTCTCTCCAGACACTTTTGGAAACATTCATGTCTTGATGAGGGCCCCCCTAGGGGATGAAATAACATTGTTATTTCAATATAAATGAAATCCAGTGACGTGGGACTGAGCTATGTGCCGTACCATCCGTGGCAGCGGGTACACTGCAGCCTGGCTGACGGGGAGGCGGTAAACGGCACTCCAGTGCCACGCTGCCAGCTACCGGCCACTCTGCAGATGCTGGCTAACGAACCGTGAAAATTCCCGTTTCATTACACGGTAAAACACAGCGACACGGTGCCGTGGGGAACACAAGGATCAGCATACGGACGGAGTTAATCTCAGCGGCTGTGTCCTCCCCTCAGAACCTTTTCAAATCACCAACATGGCCATGCGTGTTGGAAATTCTTCACCTGGGTTACTGGATCACCAACCAGAGCTCTGGGCCGGGCCAGGAGAGACCCGGGAGAGAAAGAGGGGACTACAACCTCCTGCGAGGTTCCGCTTAAGAGCAGAACCTGCCCGTTCCAGGTTGTGTCTGTGTATGGGCTCCCCAATTCACCAAAATCCCAGAATGGGCCATAATGTGTCTTTAAATGCTGCAAGCGTGCATGTGTGTGTGTGTGTGTGTGTGT